GAGTTTACAGCTTGAAATGACTATAGACTACCTGATCCCCACAGATCTAATAACGGACTTCTATGTGGGGAAGAAAGGAAGAAAAGAGGGAGATTTGGCCCAAGTGTATAGCAGGAGTTTGTGCAGGAGAGGTCTGGCTCCAGACTTGAATGTGTGCATAGATACCCAAACGCTCACACACATGTAAGGTGATACACCTATATGCACACACATGTTCCTACAGGTGCTGTCTGCCTCCAGTTCAGTGTAGTTCTCATCCAGCCCTGGGCAGAGCAAGTGCAAAGAGGCTTGAGACCAGGCATTTCAGCGAGTCAGCATGGCAGAGCAATGGGAGGAAAACTTTCCAGGGCGAAAGAGTTCTGGTTTGGCTCCCCAGCACCTGGGCATCAGCAACAAGACTCCAGCAGTGGGGATACCGCTGGGCTGGGCAAGGGATGGGACAGAAGTGGCCAACAGCAGAGAGATGCTCTTATTTGATGCCTCTCATCAGCTTGCCCCTAAGGAGCTGTGGCTGATGTTTTGGGGTGCAAAGGGATGGAGGTCTATCTCTGAGCACTCCCTCTTCAAAGTAGATGCTGCTATGGCCCTAGGAGAGGAACAAGCATTCATGGCCCCTGAATCACCTACCTAAACCGCCCACATCCCATCAAGGTTCTCAAGAGAGCAGTGCTGGAGCGTACCCAGCATGTCTTAGAATAGCTGAGCACCTTGCACAGTTAAGGCCAAGAAGCGCAGAATGGTAATAAATTGTGTGTGCATTTTGGTTAGGTTTCCTAAAAGCACACGCTTGTGCAATGGTACTGGCTGTTAGCTCCTCCTTCTCCCTGCTGCCCTCCTGCAATAGTGTTTTTAAACTGCTAGGACGAAACAAATCTGGCAGATCAAAAATAGGGCTCTAAGACATTACATGCTGATAAGTTTAATGAAAATAAGGTAGGAAAGAAAGACCCAAACTACTTCCCCTCACTGGGCAAAATGCTTCACCTGAGTGCCATGACATTATTAGCTGAGGATCCACACCTGTGTGTCAGAGCTTCCACAGGCTCTTCTGCCTGTTTTGGTTTTTTTTAAACTCAGGTAGAAGAGAAGATATTTAGGGCACCTGAGAGAAAGCGTGTAGTGCAGGTTGGGAAAAGCATGTGATGTGGTGGTAGGTGCAGAAGGACTGAATGTGGGAGCAGAGTAGAGCAGTGGGAGGCTTGGTGTCTTCCTGCATCCTGCTAATACCAACTACAAGGTGTGTGAGCTGCCTTGGGGATGTTGCTGCTGCCTAGCTGCTCGTCTGCTCTGAGTATTTCTTGTTGGCTGCAAGGCCCTTGAGAAAGTTGTCAGCTCCTGTTTGTTGTACCTTGTTGCACCAAGACCGCAGTGCTAGGAAGTCCCTGTTCAGAGAGATGCAGAAGTGAGGGGAATGTTTCTGAGGGCTTATAGCATACTTGGGTAGCCCATGTATTGGAGCTGGGAACCACAGGAGCTGCTAGTGCTGAGTTTCATGGGAAATTTCAGTACTGGAGCAAATACTCAATTCAGGGGCTTTCTCACTGACACTGCAGACTGAGCTTGTAATTTTCCAAGAGAAAAGAAAGCAGAAGCAAATGTGCTGGTCATCTGCAGAGGTGCAGATCTTTGGTATTCCCCTTCTTGATATGCAACTGGGGGAGGGAGAATGGGAGAGTTTGTGGTTTCTGCCTCACCTTTTCTGAGCATCAGATATGGTCACAGTGTAGGAGATAAGTTTTGGGGCAGGGCTCTAGCTGGTGAGTCTCTTTGGTGTCCTTCAAAATGGTAACCACTTTTGGGAGCAGGAAAGACCAAACTGGGGTCTGGCTGCTGTCTGCAGTGTGAGATTTGGCCTTTCAGTTGTGGGTGCTTTACCTAGCAGATTTCTGGCTGTTTCAGGACCTTTGGGCTTTTTTTCTTTCCTGCCCTGGCAGGAGAGGCCCAGAGGTCCCTGCCTTGCTGGGAGTGTGAGCAGGAGGCATTTGCTTGGTGGACAGCCTGGGAAGGTGGAGGAGCAGGGCTGTAAGCAGCTGCCAGACAGGCGCATGTTGGAGAAGAAGGATGGGCTGGGAGGATGGTGGGAAATGGGAGCTACCTGTCCAGCTTGACACCAGGACAGTGGTGAGGTGGAGAATAGATGTTTAACTGACTACTAGATGGCCTGTGGGATGTTGAAATGATATGTTCATTTGCTGTCAGGGGCCGTGTGTGGCATGGGAGTCCTTCCCAGCCTCGGGGTCATGGGAGCTCAGGTATCCTGTCACCTCTGCTTTAGGTTTGATGCTGAGGACAAGCTGCCTTTGCATCAGTTTTCCCATCTGAAACGGGGGGAAGTGTGTTGAGATCTCTGGATTACAGCAGGCCATGGTGTGGCTCATTCCCGTCCTATGGCTATTGATTCTGCAGAAGCTGCTGGAGGCTCTAGGGTGAGTGTGTGGGCTGGCTGTTAGATGCTCACACAGGAAGAAACTGATGCATCCAGGATGGGTGGCAAGTGCCCCGTCCTCTTCTGCCTGCACAGCTGGTGCCTGGAGGGGGAGAAGATGAACACCAGAAGGCAAGACCCTTGAGCATTCAGGTAAGGTGATAATATCTGCCTGTACTCTAACCTAAAGTTTTCTGAAACTTTGAATCAAGTTAAAGAAAACAGCTAACGAAGGGATGTTTCATGCTTGTCCTGCTAAAGATGGTCCTATTTCTCTTTTAGTGGCAAGCTGAGAACTGCAGCTACATAGGGCCCCCGGGACCCTTTTGCTTGCTCACCCAGGAGCTCAGAGAGCATGTCCTCCATCTCCTCCCTCTACTCATCTTTCTGATTCTTTCTTTTCTGTTTGTCTTTTGCTCATGATGTTTCTGTGCCACTTAGTCCATCGCTTTCTTCTCATGTGACTGACTTCCTTCACGTGGCAAGGTCCCTTCACCCATGCCACCCATTCCCTCAAGCTGCCCTGCACTCTGGGGAGAACCCATGGCTCACTTCAGGGTAAAGCCACAGTAGCTGGTCTTGGAGCTGGGCCCCTTTATTGCCTTGCAGGCGAGACTCTCCCTTTGTAGCAGATCCACACATGCTGATGTGGTCACCCACAGCACCAACATGCTTTCACCCACCATCTTTCCGGGGCATCTGCTGGTACTGGGCTGCATTCCCAAACTCTGAGGCTGGGAGAGAAGGTTCTCTGAAGGTTGCCCTTAAGCATTGGGAGATCCAAGAAGAAATATTTCTTACCAGGTATATCAGTGAGGGTATTGGTGAAAGTGGCACAGGGAGCTCTTCTTCTAGTTTCTGTACCTACTGCTGTCACCCCCATGGCAGAGGTTGCCAGGGGCTAAGAGCAGACCCTACTGCCAGGGGAAAGGGATGTTTATGGCTGGGACTCGGCAGCACCCACTCAGCAAAGCCAGGGCAGTTGCAACATCCATTTGAAGGAGACGAGGGAGAAAGAGGGTGGAAACCAGCTCACCAAGAAAGAAGGCAGCCAAATCTATCTGGGAAAGGTGGAGAAAATGGTGTTTCATGTGCTGGGCAGCCCAGAGGGGTACGTACAGATAAACCATTCTTCAGAGCGTGGAAGTGCATACACCCACCCCTCCCTGCTGTGCCTAAACCTGGAGACCTTGAGAGCAAGGGTACGAGATGTCAGCATACAAAAACCAGCCCGACACAGCCTCACACGCCCATGAGAACACACAGCTCCTGCCCCATCCAGCGTGTGGACATCACGCAGAAATTCTCCCTCGCATGCAGAAAAAGGGCCATGCCACTGTGTGTGCCATAAGGCACACACCACTGTGTATGTAGATGTACACACTGTGTTTTGGGTGTATACACACCCACACACTTCTGCATACACACTCAACCTTGCCCCACTGCTTTTCCTGGCCTTTCCAGCCTGTGCCCACCAGCTTTGCTCGCCCCCAAGCCGGGGACAGCAGAGCCCCACAGCCCTGCCATGCTCATTTGGGTCTTTGAGACTGCAAAGGGTAAACTGGGACCCGAGGGGGGGGCCTGAAAGCAAACTAATGATGAAAATGTCTCCTCCATGCCTGTGCCTTAATTAAATGCATGGAGAGGCTCGGGGAAGCACATCTGTTTTCAATCTGGAGCCCTTTGATGGCATCAAATGTTCTTTCCCCAGATCAGGGGGGATGGAAATTCTGGGCTGGCTGTGGCAGCTCGGAGCCCAGGCTCCAGCCACCGGGACGCAGCGGCCTTTCCTGGCCCGCGGGACCCTGTCCCTGGCCGCCAGCCCTGGGGCCCGTCTGTGGTGACCGAGGGGCTGGGGGCACCTCCCTGCACCTCTACCTGTCCTTGGTCACAGGGGCCAGGCCAAACTGCTGGGACCTCTTTGCTTGCTAGCCTGAGGAGCTCTGAGTGCGTCCTCCTCCTCTTGTCTTTTTCTCTTTGCTGTTTCTCTTTTTGGCCTTTCCTCCCCCCTCCTTTCTCTTCTGCTCTTTTTGCTTTGCTCTCCTTTTGGTCCATCTTCTCTCTCTTAGTTCTCTGTTGCACTTTTTCTTCCCCTTTCGGTATTTTTTCCTCTTCCTTTCCTCTCTCCCGTTCACGCTTTCTCTTCCCTTTCTCTTTGTCACCTTTTCATCTGCATTTCTCATTTTCACTATTTCTCTCCATCTGCCCCGGGAGACTACCCTCCCCTCCGGGTGACAAGAGATGGGGAACCCTACCCCGCCTCCCTATATCCCCTTAATGCCCCTCTCACCCCCTAACCGGGGGCTCCCCCAGCCACCCCCCACCAGGAGCTAATGAGCGTGGCGGGGCCGGCGCTACCCACTCCCGTCCCGGTTTTGGGCGGGGGGGGGGGGGTGGGGTACGGACCGCTCCGGTGCCACGTCCCGGCGGGGCCCCGCGGGCCGCCCTCCCCCGGGTGCCCGGCGCGGCCGGAGCGCCGCGGAGCCGCCCCCGCCGTTTGAAGTGGGGAGGGGAGGGGAGGGGAGGGCAGGGGCGGAGGGAGGGAGGGAGGGAGGGAGGGAGGGGAGAGCCGCCGGCAGCGGAGGCGGAGGGACGGGGCGCACCCGCCCCAGCGGCCCCACAGCCACCCTGCGCCTCCCGGCCGGCGGCAGCTCCCCGCGCCCCGAGCCGCCTCTCCCCTCCGGCATGTTTTAAGCCCGGCCCTACCCTCTCCCCTTCGGGCTTCCCCTCCCGCCGCCGTCGGGTCCCGTCCCGGTGTGTGTTTCCCCCCCCCCCCTCCCCCTCCCCTCTTCCCCTCCCCTCCCCCCCCCCCTTTCTTTCGGTCCTTGCGCATCCCTCCTCGAAGGGCCGGCGGCTGGGGGGGAGCGGGGGCGGTGGGCGCCCGGGGGGGGCGAGGGCAGAAAAGCCCCGTTCGGCACCATGGCGTCCAGCTATGCCCACGCTATGGAGAGGCAGGCCTTGCTGCCCGCCCGCCTCGACGGCCCCGCCGGCCTGGACAATTTACAAGCCAAGAAGAACTTCTCCGTGAGTCACCTGCTGGACCTGGAGGAGGCGGGCGACATGGTGGCCGCCCAGGCGGACGAGGGCGGCGGAGAGCCCGGCCGGAGCTTGTTGGAGTCCCCTGGGCTGACCAGCGGCAGCGACACCCCGCAGCAGGATAGTAAGTGAGGGGGCACCCCCCACCTCCACCCCACACCCCCCCCCAAACACCCACCCCACCTTTCCATCCCTCCCCGGGGCGAGGGGCCGCTCCACGCGTCCCGAGCGGCCGGGGCAGCCGCGGCGGCCGGTGCCGTGCCCCGAGGGGGCTCCCGTGGGGAAGCGGCCGCCGGCTCGTCCCGCTCGACCCAGCCGACCTTCCCCGCCGTGCCCCGGGGGGGTGGTGGCGGGGGAGCCTGCGTCCCTCATGCCCTCGGAGGCGCCGTGCGAAAACGCTTGTTTTCCCCTCTAACCGCGTCCCGGGAAAGGCGAGCTGCCCTTCGCCGCGCTGCGCCGCCTGCCTTCGGGGGAGCCGGGCTGGAGGGCTGAGCCCCCTTTTCCCATCGCCTGCCGCGGGGTGAGGGGGGTGGGGGCTGAGCACGGGGCTCCGGTGGACGGGGAGAGAGGCGCGGCGGGTAGCTGAGCTGCCCTCCGTCTGTCCGTCCGTCCGTCCCGTCGGAGCTGTGGCCGGCGCCGTGGTTTGCGGGGACACCGGGAAACTGCTCGGGGATCGGGCGATTTAATTGTCCGACGACCTGCCCCGGAGCATCGCGGTTCGCAAACAGCCCGAGGGTGCGTGCGGGGCTGCAGAGCGGAGCCCCCGGTCCCCTCCTCCCCGAGCCCCGTGGCGGGCCCGATCCGGGCCGGGCAGGGCGCAGGGCTGCCCCCGGACAGCCCGTCCCTCGCTCGGGAGCGCAAGGAGCTGCGAAGCAGCAGCCCAGCGGCTGGAGGGCAGCGGGGACGGGCGCCGGCTTGCGCGGCATTTTCCAAGCGCCGCTTGGTATTTTCCAAGCACAGCGCTGTCAGCAAGGGCGAGCCGCGGCGGTGGGGTGGGTGTGCAGGGCCAACAACCCCCCCTTATACTCCCTCTGCGTTGTGTTTTAAAAAATAAAATATATATATATGTATATATATAGCCCCCGCCCGTAGGGACCAGCCGGGATTTTCGTTGTGGGTAAGGGCTGGCTGCAGCCGTCCCCGCCGTGTCTCCCGTGGGGTGGGCAGGGGCCGCGGCTGTGGACACGGCCTCGCTTCCCAGGGAGCCCCCCATCCCGGTCCGGGGGGCTGCCCTGCGGCTGCCGGCGAAAGGCGAAAAATAAAACCAAAAAAAAATAAAAACAACGAAAAGCGAGCGAAAATTGCAATTGCAATTTTCGTTCTCTTTCCGTTTTGTTTTTTTTTGGTGTTTTGTTTTGTATTTTTTTTTTTTTTCCGCCGGGAGCCGCCTCCGACCCTCTTTTCCCCGCGGATCCGACGTGGCTTTCTTGATATCCCGAAGGAAAGCGGGTTGGGGAAGGGGGGGAGCTTTCCAAAAAAGCAGCCGCTGCTTACACTACCACCCGTGGGATCCCCGAGGAAGACGTTTCCCCGGGCGGGGAGGCAGCACCCCGGGGCGGGTTTATCACGGGAGCGCGGCTCCCTGCCCGACCGGGGACCGGGGCCGGGCACGGCTGGCGCACCCACCGCCGCTGCGAGATTGCTTTCAAAAATTACCCTTGCCAGGACCCGGAAAAACGCAATTTCAGACCCTAAAGGTGTATATTTTAGCGGGGAAGGCAGTGATTGCTGCACTCCCGATTCAGCTCCCTGTGCCGCAGCACCGCAGCCGAAGTCCCGGAGATACTAACCAAGTTACATAGACAACTTTTTTTTTTTTTTTTTTTTTCTTCCCCGATCTGTTTTCCCCCCGCTCCGCTTTCATTTATCACATTTTATTTGGACCCGATTTACTCCTGATGCTGCCCTTTGCCAGCTGCTGAGATCTCTGGAGCTAGCTTGGTCAGCCTGGAAAAGAGGGGCTGTGTTTCCCTGCTCCCCACCCTGCCTTCAGAAGTTCTCTGAATGTTTTAATGCTGTTGGGGTGAATTAGAAAGTCAGCAAAAAAATAAATACTAGAGATAAATTCTTCCTGCTTTGTTGGGCAGAGCTGTCACCTGGGCTTTCTGGCTCTTTCACCGATGTGTTTAGCAGATCCTGAGTCCCCATGCCTCAGTTTCCCCACTGATTGCGTGTGCTTCGCAAAGTGTTTTCCAGTCCATGCAGGAAGAGGACTGTTCTGGAGCTAGGCAGTGCTGCAGAGGTATGAGATTTTCTTGGTGAAAAATGAGAGCTGGTTCAGTGGAAAAGCTAACACAGGGATCGGTTATTCTCCATGTTACTGAGGGAGAAAGGGTAAAAGCCATTTGGAGAAACTGTGGAATGCCTCAAGAATACTAAAAATGTTCTTCCAACCTGGAGGAAAGTTAGCTAGTCTGTCACTGATTTCTGTCCCAAACTGAAGTGAAAAGCCAAATTATTGGAGCTATTTGTGTAATCCAAATTTACGGGAAAAGGTTTGACACAGAAATGACAAAAGCTTTTATTTGGACATTTGAGAGTGAAGGGACTGTTTTACCACTAGTTAATTTGAAAGGGGTTCAGGAGAAAAAGTTCCTCCTGTTAAAAAGAAAAAAATCCAACATCCCTGGGAGTATCTCTGATTGTAATATTTACAGGGAGAACTGTCAGCGTGTTGAGGAGCTGATTTTTCAGTGGTGCTGCGAAGCTGTCACTCCCATAGACTTTAGTTCAATTTGTAGCTCTGAAAACCATACCCTAAAAGCTGATAACAATTTGCAGCCAGCCTCCCCGCCTCTGCCGCTTAGCCTGGAAGACTTTGCAATCTGAGTTCCTCTTCGTTGCAAAACCACCTGTTAAGATACAACCAACTCTTGCTTTGGTAGCAGGGCTTTCGCTAACGCCGACTAAAACTGGGATGAAAATGCAGAGGGGACCCCCTGAGCACCCCAGCAAAGGCAGTTGGCTCCTATTGCTCCCGTGCCCTTTGGTGGTGGCAGAAACTTGTCATTGGCCTGTGGGTTCCCAGACCTTGTGGCTCTGAGCAGGGTTAATTCTCCAAATCCAGAGCTGGTAAGCCATTAGATTTTTTTTTTTTTTTTTTTAAGATGGCATTTTTGACCTCTGGTTTATTTGGTTGGTTGTTTTGAGTCTTGGTGTTGATGGCTCGTAAAATGGTGCGGAGAAAGCATGAGCAGCAAAAGAAAAATTGTTATGCTTGGATTTCTTTTGTGAGGAATGAATAAACCCTGTCCAGTACGTGCACAAGTTAGGCGTATTGGAGTTATTACTGTCCTTTAATTTCTCTTCAAGTATAAAAGTAATGGCAGGCTGGGGGCTGCGCTCTGCTCCCCGGCTGGCAAATTACATCGGGCTGTCAGGGCAGGTTTGCGATTAAAGCTGGGGCGCAGGCTGCCTGTGGCCCCCCACGACTTCTGTCTCGGCAGGAGTCGGGACCCCTCAGCGCTGCTGCCCCATCCCAGGGCAGCAGAAGCCCCGCCGGGGCGGCCGGGAAGGGCTGAGTTTCCTTGCTCAGGCTGGGTCAAGCAAAGCATCTGTGCCGGCTTCAGCCCGCCCTGCTCGGGCAGCGGGTGGAGAGCACGAGGAAGGGCTTTTTCACCTGGCACGTTGTTCGGTGATGGATCTTGTTGGCGCAGGATTTTGCGGAGATCAGAAATAAGAAGTGGTTTCAAGAAAGGACAAGGCAGATGCAGGGCGGGCTGAGGATGGCTCTTCACTGCAGCGGTGTGCGGAGGCAGCGGCCGGCTCGGGGAGCCGTGGGGCTCAGAGACTGGAGGATGAGCTGGGGCAGAGATCGCTCCATTGCTGCCTGGGCTTACACCCTCCAACTCTGTCGTAACTGCAAGTCTGAGACAGGACCCAGAGCTGTAGGACCTTTGGTCTGCTCCCACACAGCTTTAATTGCCTTTTTTTAATCGGAACAAGTAAGGTTGCTGTGGGAATAAAAGGGTGTATGTAAATATTGAATTGTTTCTATTTTTTTAAATTTTTCTCACTGATCCTGAGCTTGTCTGCGGTGTTGCGCCTCCCCACCCTTCACAAAAAAAAAAAAAAAAACATACGCCTTCTTAAAAAGAGGTGTAAAAGCTCTGCCGCTGCTTTGAAATGTGAAAAGCAATTCAGTGGGCTGCTGAGTTCCTTGGAGGGTGAACCTGAGAAGGAAGCACCAGGAACAACTGCAGAGTTTTCTTTGCAAACCTCTGCTTTATCTTGAACTACTAAGTGGCTCTTTTGTTAGTAAAACACAGCCCTTATTCCCAGAAGATGCTGAGACTGTAGAGCGGGGATGTACGAAGAATAGAAAGTGGGGTAAAAATTCCAGGGTAAATTGATTAAATCTAGCAGTTATTTTCTTCCTCTCTTGTCCCAGATAGTTGATGGGCCACGGGAGGGTCTGCAGGAGGCCGCTGGCTGCTGATGTCCACAGGTTGCACACGGGTGAGCGAGGGAAACCGGCCGGTGCCTTTGACCCCGCAGGCAGCTGTGAGCATCCTTACAAGGTGCTGCCAAGAAAGACTTTCCAGAACCAATCCTTCTCTTCCAGCAGCTGATGTGGAGAAATGGAGGATCAGATCAATAATATTTCTAAGGCACTTGTTGTTTAGGTTATCTGCGTGAAAAATACAACAGCTTGCTTTTTCTTGCGGGAGTAGTCTTTATGCTTGCCAGTTGTACCGCGCGTCTCCTCAAGGCTTCATGCAGGAAGAGTGAACGATGTTCACTTAGGTAAAGGTTGAGTAACAGAGATAACTAACACAGAGCAGTCGTTAGAAGTTTGATTAACTTCCTTGCATTTATGTTCCTTGGGCATATCTATTTAATTTCACTCTTTGGCTGGCTGGTGCATGGTTATTCCGGCGAGTATCTCACAGCGTTGGATATTTTTCTTACATTGCTGAATCTTACAGTTTGAAGTGGAAAACCAGTTTTGTGTTTTTCACATAAATTTCCAGAGCTTCTGGACGCGAACAAAAGATGGAAATGCAACTCTGTCACAAACCTGGAGTCTTAAAAAAAATAAAGGCACCAAAAAGCAAACAAAACCGGACAAGATACTGTTATTAACAAAGAAAAGAGCCACCATGTGAATTTGAAGAAGGGAGC